ATCCACGATTATTGGTCTGATAGTCCTTGAAAAAATTTTCTTTAAAAAATCCACGCTTATTCGTCGGCTAGTAATTGAAAAAATATTCTTTAAAAAATTGGTCTGGTAGTCCTCGAAAAAATATTCTTTAAAAAATCCAAGCCTATTGGTCTGCTAGTTCTTGAAAAAATATTGTTTAAAAAATCCACGCCTATTGGTCTGATAGTCCTTGAAAAAAATATTCTTTAAAAATCCACGCCTATTTGATCTGATAGTCCTTGAAAAAAATATTCTTTAAAAATCCACGCCTATTTGATCTGATAGTCCTTGAAAAAAATATTCTTTAAAAATCCACGTTTATTGATCTGATGGTCCTTGAATAAAATATTCTTTAAAAAAATCCACGCTTATTGGTCTGAGAGTCCCTGAAAAAATATTCTTTAATAAATCTACGCCATTTGGTCTGATAGTCTTTGAAAAAATATTCTTTAAAAAATCCACGCTTATTGGTCTGATAGTCCTTGAAGAAATATTCTTTAAAAAATCCACGCTTATTGGTCTGATAGTCTTTGAAAAAATGTTCTTTAAAAATCCATCCTTGTTGGTCTGATAGTCCTTGAAAAAATATTCTTTGAAATAAAAAAAACAAAACTGCATATATTTTATTTAAATTAACATAGAAAAAATATATATTTTTTATTTATAATTTTATTGTATTTATTTAACAGATACATAAGTATTTTTTTCTTTCAATATATAATATATATTTATAAAAAATCAAATAATTAAAAAAAAAAACAAATATATATGCCAAATAATATAATGATGTTCAAATGGTAATAATAAAATAAATGATGTATACAAATAATAAATTCAGCACTAAATATTACATACATACAAAAATACATACATTTATAGAAAAAATAAAATAAAATAATAAATCATAATACACAAAAATTCAATACTTCTTCACAATATGAACCACAGAATGACAGAATTCTAGAATGGGGGGGAAATATTTATATATAGAAACGAACACAGACACAAGACATTTAGACTAATGATTTGTTGAGTTGGAGTTGGCAGATGAATGGATCTGATGATGGTAACCTAATGATGTCGCTGCCACCAGGGTGCGGCACGTGATGTGGCATAACTACCCAAACCTTCACGGGCTGGGGCTGGTGCGGGATGTTGTATCTGTTGGATTTGTGCTATCGCCGGAAATAGATGTGGACCATTGGCGGGCTCATAGGTAAGGGCATTGTGTTGTTGTTGGTTATACAAAAAGGCATTAGGAACATTTAGGCGCTGAGAGCCACTATAGGGTGGTAGATAGGATGGGCGGACTGATGGAATTGAAACATAGGTTGGTTTGGGTGAGGGGCTTAAGTATGTCTTGGGATATAGCGGTTGTTGTGGCTTAACGGCTGCCACCGAGTTGTGGGGACCATATACATTGCTACGTTGGTCGCAGACAGTTCCTTCAATCAAGGTACTCAGAGGTGCAGTATAGATACGGAAATTCACATCATTATAATCCAATTCGGAGAGTAAAAACACCGGCATACGATCGGAGAGTACCCAAACATCTTTGTTTTCATCGATTTTAACATCGGCAGGGAAGACAAGACCGACATCATCACGATCCACAATACCATGGAATTGGGGTGAGTATGGCATGGATGAATGCCAGCAGCCGACAGCATTTTGATCGATTAAATTGAACAACTCAACACCATCGTCGCTCATAACACGGGCCGTAGTGTGGGAGTTGGGTCCACGTTCATCCAAAGCAATGAAATCATGATAACTGTCCTCAACACGTGTCTCATCACGCAAAATGCGAGTGGACACAGCGAATTGTCGGTGACTGGCCAAGGGGCTGAAATACATGGTACGGAAGCCATCAGACCTAATGGGTGACAAAGCCATACCGAAAATACCCTCTTCACCCCATTGGAAATTGAGGCCAGCAATGTTATAATCACCTCTCAAGGGATCGGGGAAGAAGTACGAATGTCCCGAGAAACGCCATGATTTATTTTGTTCCCACGAATAGGCAATCAGGCCATAACCCAATTCATCCGAGAAATAGGCGAAGGCATCATCACAACTCTTGCCAATATCCACAGCAATGTTGGCGATGAAAGTATTGGCATTGGTATCCTCTGGTCTCAACTCGTAGCGGCGTATACGTGTGTGTGTTGCCAAATCGAAGACATTCACGGCATATGGGCAGGGGTTGGTGGTGGTGTTACCAATACCCAAGGTGCCAGTATCCAAAACCCACAAACGACCGCATTCATCAACCTTAATACGATAAGCTGTGGTTATGCTATTCGCACAATCACCAGCCGTATTCGAACGCCAATCGGGATAGGGTATCAATGCTGGAGAACCGGTAACACTATGATCCATATTGATATAAGTCAATGTGGCTGGTATACCTGGAAAGAAAATCGAAGAAAAATGTTTGTAAATTAATAGTCTTAAGACAAATTGTTGCAAAAATAAAATTCGCAAAACCTGCACATTGCAAAGACATAAATAAATACGCTTAAAAATTATTTAATGCATATAATTTAGTAATAATTTTCGAAATACATTGTAGATATAAATTTGGCTTAGATTGTGAAAAACAGTCTATGAAAAATTGGCACCTAACAGTTTACAACATTTGTAATTACAGTAATTCATTGTTTCTAATTATAATATTTATCACTTTAGGGGCTTAACATTGCATTAACTTTAAAAGTTAAATTGCTTCAACTGTTATAACACTTAAATGTTATAAACAGAGGATAAACTAATGCAGAACATAGGAATAAATGTTCGAATAGCACTAACTGTTATAAACAGTGACTTAACTGTAAACTGATCATACATATAGCAGAAATGTTCGAAATAAGCGAAAGTGTTATACAGCGAATGCCTTATCTACAGTGGCGTTAACTAATAGAAACCAGAGCATACTTCTAGGCGTTAAGTAAATTGGAATTATATCAGTTTACAAAGAATAAGCGTGAATTTTCAAACAAATTTAGTGGAGCAACTCAAGTAAATATAATCGTGGATTTTTAAAGGCATATTTCTAAAAGGACCTAAAAAACTACAAGCGTAGATTTTTTAACGAATATTTTTTAAGACTATCAGAAGCGCGGATTTAAAAAAAATATTTCTTCAACGACTATCAGACCAATAAGCGTGGAGTTTTTAAAGAATATTTTTTCAACGACTATCAGACCAATAAGCGTGGATTTTTTAAAGAATATTTTTGTCAAAGACTATCATACCAATAAGCGTGGATTTTTTAAAGAACATTTTCTTCAAGGACTATCACACCAATAAGCGTGGATTTTTTTAAAAAATACCTTTCCAAAGACTATCAGACCAATAAGCGTGGATTTTTTAAAGAATATTTTTTCAACGACTATCAGACCAATAAGCGTGGATTTTTTAAAGAATATTTTTTCAACGACTATCAGACCAATAAGCGTGGATTTTTTAAAGAATATTTTTTCAACGACTATCAGACCAATAAGCGTGGATTTTTTAAAGAATATTTTTTCAACGACTATCAGACCAATAAGCGTGGATTTTTCAAAGAATATTTTTTCAAGAAATATCAGACCAAGAAGCGTGGATTTTTCAAAGAATATTTTTTCAAGAAATATCAGACCAAGAAGCGTGGATTTTTTAAAGAATATTTTTTCAACGACTATCAGAGCAATAAGCGTGGATTTTTTAAAGAATATTTTTTCAACGACTATCAGAGCAATAAGCGTGGATTTCTTAAAGAATATTATTTCAACGACTATCAGAGCAATAAGCGTAGATTTTTTAAAGAATATTTTTTCAACGACTATCAGAGCAATAAGCGTGGATTTTTTAAAGAATATTTTTTCAACGACTATCAGAGCAATAAGCGTGGATTTTTTAAAAAATAATTTTTCAACGACTATCAGACCAATAATCGTGGATTTTTTAAAGAGTATTTTTTCAACGACTATCAGACCAATAAGCGTGGATTTTTAAAGAGTATTTTTTCCACGACTATCAGACCAATAAGTGTGGATTTTTAAAGAATATTTTTTCAAGAACTATCAGACCAAGAAGCGTGGATTTTTTAGAGTATATTTTTTCAACGACTATCAGACGCGGACGCGGTCGCGGCCGACCATACGATACCCTACACAACTACCACAGAACTTCATCTTTCTGCGGATTTTTATTCCGAGCCTGGGTAATATTTCGTGACAGTTGGACCCTCTTGCCCGATTAGAGGTCAACAGCACCTCTTCCTTACACTGACATATTTTCCGAATATTACCAATATTCAGTACAGCCCTTCTAATTACTTGTCCATATTAACTTCACCGTGGGTTGTGTTGTGATGTTCGGTTTCTAAAAAAACACAAAAAAATAAGTTTTCGGTCCACTTCATCCCGAAATTATTATCTGATCACCACCGAAAATTATAGGCATTGTACTTGACCATAACTGGAACCTCTTGAAACATTTCAAAGCGATCAGCGCTATATTTCCGCCCTCTAGTGTGGTAATGATTTATTAAATAATATTTGAATACGTAAGCGCACCTGTAAATATTTACGTGTAACTCCCACATCCGAGGACATACGACGATGTAATTGGTATCAATTTAAAAGCCAACCACTCCTCTTGGTTATACTATCAACTTCTCGGGTATATGTCCTTCAAGAGTAAGTATATACGCTATAGAATACAATTTTTGTCATGTTTCACACAAAAGTCAGGGTCCATTTTACCCGCTAAATATTGACCGATCTTGATGAAAGCAGGCATGCTTATTCTTTGGCCTAATCCGCTTCTACAAATTCGAGATGTTTGAACTATAATTGCGGCCTCTGAGCGACCAGAAAACCCGACAAAAATTGAGTAATTGGTCCATTTCATTCCCTAAATATTAACCGATCTATACCAAAAACAATAGGGGCCGAACCCATCCTACATGCAAAATTTCGTGAAGATTGGTCCATAACTGTGGCCTGTATCGTGTTTACAAATTATAATGGATAGATGGGCACACATGTCTAGATCGACTCAGCTAGTCGAGATATGACGATCGGTATACTTAAAGGTAGGTCTAGGACCAATATTTCGCTGCGTTAAAAAACTCTTGGGGCTGCACAAAGCTATAATACCCAGACAACATAGAACCTTCCATGTTCGGAAGTTTAAAGATTTAAATCGCAATTTTCAACCGAAGTCACGGTAATTTGATAATTTTGATTTGAAAAATAAATTATTCTCAAATAAAAGACGTTGGAGGTCTTTGTTTTGATATATATCATATATAATGCCGCATTAACCACACGTTCCAACTAAAAGTCTGGTCTGGGATCTGAGTAAGTTAAGAATTTCTTCGCACTCTATATAATCGTCTCGCCCCTTTGTGATATTCTCATGGCTTTAGCCGCATTTTTACACCGAAGTGCCATTAATTTGGCCTTCCGAAATCTTGAAGTGTAAACACAAACCTTACAGAAATTTTTCGATATAGGTATACGTGTTGAAATAGCCCACATATATTGGACCGCACCTTATTTTTGTATTTTGAATGGATTATCTCACCGAAGTGGCTGTAATTTAGCCTTCTTCGATGAGTTTTTACCCTATGAAGAATATTTGTGTTTGGTTATTTTTTCATAGACATTCCGAACTCTTAGAGGGTAAAACCAATAAAGAATATAATCAAACTTCTAGTGTACAATTCATAATTTTCCCCACCGCATGAAGGAATTTTGAATGCAAATCGTGATGGTTATGAAAATTATGGCCCGCCTAAATTTAACGAATTTTTTCCCTTGTTTAAAAAATATTTTATCCATTATCTACAAAGTCATCAGTGTGATTTTTACAAACAACTTTAAAAATACATTTTGAGCCAAATCAGTCGAATCTTAGAATCGAAAAACATAGATTTTGTTTAGAATATTTTCTGAGCTATATTCGCAGAGTCATTAGCATATTATTTCCCCACTTATTACGTTTTCTGTATCACACATCAAACCGGCCAAAATTCACACCATTTAATTATATAGTTTTTTTTTTACTTTTTTTCTAATTTCAATTAATTGCCACCAAATTAATAATCTTTAAAGTGTGAAAAATAATCGGCATATCTCCATGGTAAAGATTCCGTTAACAACTTCATTAAATCAAATCTGTAACCAGTTTTGGCTGACAATAAAAAACGCATGCTAACATTATCGCCTATTAGTGTTCAAACAACCATTAAAACATTGAAATTATAAAAAAAATACAACCCGAAATAAACTATATAGACAGACCCCTTCAAGAAGAAAACACCATTGCTGGCCAATCATGCAATCATGTCTATATATAACTGCAGTGTGTTGCAACTCTGGAAAATGCTAATAAAATTTGATTAAATTACCATATTAAATGTCATGTTGTGTCCACTTCAACGCTGTAAAGACATGTTGTGAAAACCTCTCAACAGCTTCCATCATCATCTTCGGCAACAAATGATATATATCACCGCCAACGAATAAACAAACACCACCGGGAGCAGCAGAAGCTCAACGCCAACAGCAAACAACTGTCATGGGAAATTATTTTACATGAAATGTTTGATTCAATAATCAAGATCACCAAATAAGTGTTTGTTCGATACGCAGATTACCAGCATTGAATGTGCAAATTTATATTTGTTTGACAAAAAATTTAAATGACAGCCGCCAATGTTGTATGGCAATGTTGCAAACACCATTAAACTGGTATCTGAAATATGGTGCACAGTGTTTCCTGTACGTACTTGTCATTTTGTAAAGAAATTCCTTACCAGGAGTGTTGAATGCATTGTTGTCTGTCATGCTGCCAACCATTTGTGGCATTAAAATATGACGATATATATTAATTAAAATACCACAAAGTGTAATGACTCAATCAAAAGCAAAAGTTAAATGATTTGTTTTCATATGGACCAAGATTAAATAAATAGTGGTGATTTCATAGATGAATTGGTGAAATGTATCCGAGTTAAAAAAAAATCTATAAAGATAGCATTTAATAAATGAATTTAAAATATGAATAAAGAGCAATGGTTTTCTATATGTGAGGCCCTTTTTAAAGTCTTTAATAGATGATAAACTTTATGTTAAGCTTATCTTTAACCCTTTGTGGCCCAATGTTGCCCACAGGCAACAAAATGTTTTAGAGCTTCTATTTAATATGCTGTTAGTAGATATATGTATTATTTGGATTCCATATGTCAAGACCTGATTATGGACGACACATGTCAAAAGAAAAATCAAAAAAAAAAAAAGAAAAAAAATTTTTCAAACATTTGGTAGTTATGAGCTTTTCAATATAGAGAATAGCGTAAATTTGTGTACAGTACTAATTTGTGTATACCGTCCAAATTATTTAAATCGCCTCGTAT